CATCGTTGTTATTCTATCAATTCTGTCGTAACATTTGCTAACACCATACCTACCAAACCATCTCTCTTTTCGTTCTTTCCCTCCTCATTCAAGCTTTGCTTTGAAACTGTCCATAATGACTGTGCACATGGAATCGATGATTAGGATAGATTCCAGCTCAGTACATAACTCCTCAGTCTTGTCGTCATCGCTCGTCATTGAAGGAACGTGAACCTGGACGATTTCAAGGGAAAAGAATTGCAAAAACCACTTCCTCTTGACAGTATGCCCGAATTTATCAACATTCTTCAGTTCCTCTGAAATTAAGATGTGTTCGGCTCTTTGTAGTGTTTCGTATACGCCGAAGACATCGCATGAAGCTCCACCAATCAGATGAGATAGCTCGTAAGACTGCATCGCAAAATATCCTCTGACACATGACACTTAAGGCCATTCCCTTCATCCTACTCCTTAATCCTTTGACGTCGACTTCAATTACAGATACATATCGCAAGGAGCCATCTGTTCCTCTGAGTGTCCAGATACCGATCTGTGTTAAGGATTTTCATAAGAATCAAGTTTTAATGCTCAGATGCCCACCTGTGAGTTCCATCGCTATGTTTTAAATCATTTATCAATCGTAACCCGCTGGGTGAAGTGATATAGAAAGTGATGTCGAGCTCACCGCCGGCGATCACCTAAAATGTGCAGAAAAGTGAGCGTTTTACAAGAAATGACAGTTTCGTATTGGCGCAAACATGGGCGAGGATTGTAGAAAAAATTGCAAGTCGAGCGCTGGCGAAAACATAACTACTAGCAAATAGCACTTGTTTGGCAGCGGTAAAAACAGGAACCTGGTAATCAATCTCGAACGAGCGGTACTTCTTATCCAGAATAGCATGACTGTAACATTCGGTTTTGCCAGCCGGAACGATCACTGTGTAGGCATATTCATCGGCTTCTGTCAGCCATATAAGCAATAAAATGGGTGCAATTCGACGAGCAACCATCGCCGTTGCCAAATACCGCTACTGAATCAACAAGCGCATACCTTCGTCCCAAATGATTCTCTCATCATTTTCTTCACACCTCAACGGCTCTCATCATCCATCAAAATGCACTTCGACGATTCGACCAAATGAGCAACGCTGTTCTAAAGCCTCAACGATTCCCTGGTCAAACGCAAGAAACAAATAATGAAGCGCCAGGATGAGCATGCGTGTTTGGATCCAAGTTAACAGGTCAAAGTATGGTGAGGTCCGAGAAGAGATTTCAGGCCATTCAACTCGCATCAGCAAAGCAGACATCTAAAACCTCACGGTCGTAACTTGCCCTCTTTTTGATTTATGCGGTCCGGAATTGCAGACGAGGTCACAGATCAGTTCGCGGTGAGATCTGCTACTCAATTTCGAACCGTTTCACCTCATGCACTGTGGTCAGCTAGACCTCCACGCACCCCTCACTGACCAAGCTTAAACACATAAACACATGCACACACAAAAAACGTACAGTTATAATGGGCCTTCGATTTATGCAGAAACGCATGGTTTCCGTTTGTGAAGCCTTTTTTTGTTCTCTTCTTTCGATCGTTTCCAGGTTGTTCCTTACCCTCCTTCCGCTTACACCTTTCGTAAAATTATTTCTGCGTGAGCTCCAATCCCTGCCCTCCTCTTTTAGCAAAAACAGAACTTAGCACTACCCCACAAGGTCACATGATCGCTTTAGCAATCGAAGCCACGAATTCAATGATCATGAAAACTGCCACACGTTTAGTTGCAAGCAATTCTCGATGGTAAATGCTGTGCAGGAGTGCAGAAGAATCGTTGTTGAGCTGAAAAACTAAAGAGCCAACCGAAGGACTCAAGCACAGCTAGTATTAATTTTCTGATGTAACGAAGAGGACAGGGAACTGAAGTTAGAAGCATCAGCATTCGTTAAATGCAACATTGAAAAAGCAATCAGAGGTAGCGAGAGCAAGTTTTTGAGTAAAGTAACAAAGTGGTAGTTGATCCATGCATCAAGATATCATCCATTCAACTGAGCTACACCGGCTACAGCAAATCCGAGACAGTTCCGGTACTGGCTCGGAACATGTAAAAATTCAATAAACTGGAAAGTGCCAGGCCTACACCAGTCACTCCCGAGTACTTCGCTGAGAATCTAATTTTTCCTTTCAGTTCAGTTCGTGTCTGCGTCATTTGCCGAAACCACCACAGAGCTTTTTTCATGAAGCAAAGCGCAAACTGTGCATCGACAAGCAAAACTGCCAAAAACCAGTCTGCGTT